ATGTCATTATGTGGTTGTGTTTTTCAATTTTGGATTCTTTTATGCAAAAGAACGTTAAAACAATTATAGTCAAATGAGAAGCGTGGTGTGTTTATAGTAAGATATATAAATATTTTTGATTTAAAATATACAATGTGATATGAATTATAAGTAATGACTGTGGAAGAGATGCACGAAAGTTATTTGTAACCAATCGACACACTTCTACAATATGTAAAGAAAGATGATTTTATTTTATTTTTTTTGTGTTGTGTTTGTCGGTTTAACCAAAAATAAAAAAAATCTTTTAAAAAAAAGGACATTTCCCAGAGTGACAAATAGATCAACTACAATCATGAGGAGGTTTATCCTTAAAACACACACACACACATACACAACCACACCACAAAAGCAAAAGGCTTAAAAAGAGAAGAAGCAAAGAATACCCACTTCTCTCGCTTAGCAAAAATGATCAGGGTGGGAAGGAGGAGGAGGAGGAGGGATGTTGCTTTCCGTGTCCTGAATTGTATCAGTCTGAAGACTGGTAGAGGTTCATCTGCTCTCCTGATGAGAGCTTCTGCCCCATCAGGAGATCTTCGTTCGGAAGCCCTCCATTTCACAGGACTTTAAGGTTAAGGTTCTTCGGATAGAGACCAACGATGAAGCATGGCATGCCTGGCTCCTGCCCCAGCCAACCCCACGTGCCTCCCCAACAGACGGCAGCACGTAAGACTTGGGAAGCAGACAAAGCAAAATGATGAAACTAGTTGGAATCCACACCCCTTCAGCAGAGCCTTCCCTGCTCCAGTGGCCATCTTCAAAGGAGAGTTTGCCTCTGCAGACGGCAGTCTCCATTCCAAAGGGTGAGAGACCGAGGGTGGCCTGGGCTCATTCTCTGGGGGGCCTGAATGACAGATGGGCTCCCCTGGAAGCAGAGCCAAGTCTGGCCTGCTGGCTTCCAGGGTAAATAGATGCTCCAATGAATAACCTGAAGGGAGGGCCTCTCCTGCAGGACCAGGAGGGCTCTTTACGCTAAGAGGAGAGGCTGAACATGCCGACCTTCGGAGGGAAATGGATTTTTCTTCCTGACATAATCTGCTCCAACGAATCAAGCAGGAAACTGTCCAGGAAGAAACCAGAAGACGCCCCCCAAGGCCCCTCCCCACTCTGTTCTTCTTGCCCAGTCAAAGGGGAGTGGGGGAGAAGGGGAGGGCTTTGCTGGGCTCTGCCCACAGAGACTCCCTTCAGCTCTTGGCCTCCTTTCTTCCTTGTATCCTCCTTGAGAACGGTGACTTCTGGAGCCTCTCAAGCTGTTTGGGAGTCTAATTCAGCTCCTTTAAATCTGGGGTCTCCAACCTTGGCAACTTTGAGCCTGGAGGACTTCAACTTCCAGAATTCCCCAGCCAGCTGCCAAGGTTGGAGACCCCGGATTTAAATTCCGATAGCATCTTTTCTCCTTAGACATAATGAAACTCACTAAAGGCCCCTGGAGTTTGCTCTTAAGAACATCCCAACCACTCGGGATGGGCTGCCCATTTACCTTATAGTCATATCCAGCACTGAACAGGATATTGGTGGTGGTTGGGTGCCACTCGATGAGGCCGACACGCCGGCTGTGGCCATACAGCTCCAGGACAGCCTCTGTCATATTGCGCTTCAAGCCTCCGTCCGGGATTTCCCATATCCGAACCTGGAAGGACAAAAGGGCGAAAGGCTCCCGTGAGCTCAGCCTTCTGCTTCTCTACCTGCTGAGGTGGTTGGGAGAGATAAAAAGACTGAGAAGGCTTTAAATTGTCCATTCCTGCACACCTGGAAGCATCTGCCTTTTCAAAATAAGCCTGTCAAGACTTCCTGGAAACCTAGAGATCCCCTGAAAAAACTTGGATTCTAGAGATTTCCCTTCCACCCCCAGGCATCTCACTGGATCCCTTTATACTGTACTGGGCCCTTGAGCCTCTGATAATTCAATTTTGGTTGACACCTGTAGATGCTGTCCATGGACACAAGGAAGGAAGGAAGGGGGGAGGGAGGGGAGAGGAAGGGAGGAAGGGGCCCTGTCAGCCAGAGTGGGACAGAACGCTTGCCCAGTTGTGCTCCCTGGGAAGCTCTTCCTCCTCCTCCTCCTCCTCCTCCTCCTCCTCCTCCTTGTACATGTGCCAATCACTTACT